TGAGGAGGAATCCTGCTCTGCCCCCAGCTGCGCTGAGCCTGGCCCCTGAGAATTGATCTGCCTGAAGGGCTCGATCTTGATGCTCTGGGAGGGTGGGAGGGAGGTGACCGGTCCTCCTCCCCACACCTGCCCTGCAGTGTGACCTAGGCGCCGTGCCGGCCTCCTCCAGCTCTCCGCCAGCCCGGGAGCCGCAGGAGGACGGTCGCGGCTTCCCGAGCGCCAGGCCGCGCTCGGGCTGCGGCAGCTGCGCCCTGGGGGCTGGGAGGGAGCGCGAAGGTGCCAGGGGACTGAGGGGTGGTGGAAGATCTGGCCTGGCAAGGCAACCTCAAGTTTCCACCGGCGCGCGGTTGTGCAACGGCGAGTGGAGCGGGAGCCGCGGGCGCCTCAGAAAACTAGCCGAGCCCTTAAACAAAGCCACGTGGCCTCGGGGAGGGGGGCCGGGCTAAGAGCAGGCGCTCTTCCGGCAACAAAGAGCCAGGGCCAGCGGACCAGGATAAATACTGTGGCCCCGACGGCCGCGCAGCACTCCCGGAGCTTGACGCGCAGCGCGACCCTCCCCAGAGACAGCGCCCTCTGAAAGCGCAGGGGACCGGCTCCGCACCCCCAAACCCTCAACCCTCCACGCCAGTGCCCAGCACTTCCAGACATCGCGGGCCTTGCACCCGGAGCATCCGCCCGGGGAGGCTGGTCTCCGACACCGCCAGGCCGGTCCAGTCTATCAGTTCGTCCACTCAGTGGGTGGCGTCCGCTCTCGGTGCCATGCCATTCCTTGGGCAAGACTGGCGATCTCCCGGGCAGAGCTGGGTGAAGACAGCCGATGGCTGGAAGCGTTTCCTGGATGAGAAGAGCGGCAGTTTCGTAAGCGACCTCAGCAGGTGAGGGGACCCTCCACCTTCTAGCCAGGCAAACCTGACCTGGGCTGACCTGGGGCGCGCAGGGCAGATGAATGAGGATAGGTTGGGCTGGGACAGGATGAGGAGGTGGGCCCTGTCCGAGGGTGTGGGAGTGGGTTGCCCGGACTTCTGCAGAAATCGCCAGAGCACTGGAGACCCGGAATTTGGGTTCTCTTACTACTGAAGTCAGCTTCTCCAGGTGGACATGACTTCTTAGAGAACCCTGGATCCCTCTGGAACCTGACAATTGCAGATCTTGTCCCCAAACATGCACGCAACTCAGGCACCTTCTGCCTTTGGACACCATAGACCAAAGGCATTTGCGCTTATGCAGGCGCGGGCGAGTGGGCTGTGCGCCTTTCATCGCCAGGGTGGCGGGGCTCAAAGTGTCCAGTCGCGTTAGTCATAAGTCTGGTGACGATTGGACGTGGGTCCCATCGTGAGCGCCCCCACGCTCTTCCCACGCACAGGCGACGGCGGAGCGGGCAGAGAAAATGAGTAATCTGGAGGGGCGGCCAGATGGTCCCTGGGGCAGCAGCCTTGCTGGGCGGACTTCCTCTGTGATGGTAATGTTTAGAGGCTGCTCAGAGGCAGACGATGAAACCCACAAACCCCGTTTCGGGGGCAGACGAAGCACTAGCCACCTGTTTTCTAAGTGGACCTTTCATCAGTCTTGGTACAGTGAGCACACTCCCATTTCTAGGGATGCCTGCCAGCTGCAGAAAGACCCCTGGGGACTTGAGGTCTCCCCTGAGTTCTGCCAGGCTGGTGGAAAATCTGAGGTCCTCTGAGTTCCATGCTCAGCTTCGTTAACACAAATACAAAGAATAACTTCTGTGGCGCTGAATCAAATGGTCGTGGGACCATTTGAATGTTTGAGAACAGGATCCGGGATTGTCAGTTTCTCAGAGGGATCCTGGGTTCTGAAAAGAGTCATGTTCACTTGGAGAGGCTGACCTTGACCAATAAGAGAAATCATTTGACTAGTGAAGAAGGTGATGAAAGCTGATGGGGGTGGGGAGGGGCTGCTGCAGCTGAGTCACCCTTGGGTGTCTTTTCCCATTGCTTTTGGTTAAACCACTGGCCCCTGCACCCTTAAATTGACTTCAGTGGAGAGTTCTGTAACTGGGCCAGGTTCCTGCTGACTGAGATTTACCAGTGGTTGTTTGGATAAAGGCTGAGCAATAAATTTTAAGAAAACTATCAAGAAAATGTGGTTGTTTTGGCAGCTTGACCTCCAGAGCCTCCCATTTGTTTGTGATTTGTAATGCATCAAATTCCCTTTGTCCATGAATGAAGAGAAACAAATTATTTAATGCTGAGATCTGTCAGTAGAGACAAGAGCATATTAACCTTTATATTAGAGATGCTTTGAGGCAGTCCCAGGGGAGTTGGAGAGCACAATACAGAAATCTTATTCACAGAAAACTTGTTTGCAGAAAAATTAAGGCAACTGCTGTCATCAGACTATGCCTAAATTATTCTCCCTCCACTAAGTGGGAAGGGGATAGAGTGGAAACTTTCTTCCTCCCTCCTTATCCCTAAGGAATAATGATCTAATATTCTGGGACTTTCTGCATAAAAGTTGAGATTCTTTCTAGGACGGTGCAGTAGGGGCGCAACCAGCTTTGTATCACCTTGTCTCACCCAAATGCAGTTGTAGGGTGGTGGTTGATTCTGTTCAGCAGGAAGTGTTCAAAAATGGGGAGCCTGCAATTCAATAACTGCTCCTTGAGATAAACTGGTGTGCTCTCCTCAAGAAATAGTGACACCTCCCCTCTCCACAGTATGGAGAACCTGAAGCTGTTTTAAACTCCCAGATGTTTAGACTAAGCTGGGATCAGGTAGCTACCAGGCCCCTTTGTCCCTTTGAGGAACCTCCTCCCACTTTACACCTTCTGAGCTCCAGCTGTCACACTCAGCACTCATGGTTACTGATAGGAGCAGTTGATATAGTGCCCACCTGTGCTCCTCTGATGAGTCAGAGTTTGGGAATCTTTGTGTAGTCTCCCAACAAAACAGCTGGCTGTTTGTTTGCAGGGTATTTTTTTTCCAACAATTGTAAACAACCCCTTCCTTACTTAGCAGAAGAAGTCTGCCAACTTCTTAAAAGCAGTTGGCCTTCTGAGGTCTCAGTTGGTAATCTCAAATATCTCCACTGTTTTCCGTCTTGGTTTCTCTGTGATGTCAGGTTTGGGCCCAGTGCCTGGCTATGCAGGTGAGGTTGAATGCCTTCTCCTGTTCTGAGAAAACAAAAGGAAGGCCCTCAAAGAAAAGGTGGGGGACCATAAACAGGACTACAGAGGTATGGGATACTTTTCCCATTCTTGAATTCCAAGTACCAGTCTGTGAGCTGCCCAATAAGAGCAAGAAATGAAGGGTGCATTTGATGGTTCTTGGCCTGGGGTTATTATTCTATGTTGACCATTCTTGTAAGCACAGCACTCCTGTTCTGGACTCCTCCGTTGGCTGCTCTGTGGTCCAGGCCCCTGTCTTCCTCCAAAAAAAGAATGTTACAAATCCTAGGGCAGCCAGGTGCCTCCCAAGACCATGAAAGGCTCTGAAAAACTTAAAGCAGAGCCCCTTCTCAAAAAGTTGAAAGTATGTAAGATAGAAGAGGAATGGCAAGTGTTAAATTTGGTGGCAGTTTAAAATTTCAAGGCAAGAGCTGAGCATGAATTGGTCTGAGCCAAGAATGCTTCAAGAAATGGGGTTGAGGGGACCATACTGCCCTCCTCACCACCATCACCACCACCCACATCCACCCCCAGGATGAGTAATGTTGGCTCTATTTTCCAAGCCCGCACTTCTGCAGCTGAAAACTCACTTGACTGTTGCTTTACTGTGTAGCTAAGTCTAGACCAGGAAGCAGGAAGTTTGCCTTGGTGCTCTGGATAAAAATAATAGTTAAGATTTTATGAGTGCTTACTATGTGCAAGACACTATTCTAAGAGCTTCATACACAAGGCTGTTTGTCTCACAGAGTAATCTGGGACTAGCTTTTGGCCATCTGGATATGTCTTACAGAAAATTAGCATCAAAATCTCACTGGCCTTAATCAAGGCTATGTAACTACTTTGGGGCAGGACATGACTTTATTATTTGGTTTTTATTGCAAATGAAATAAGAAATGGGGTTCTATTTTTTTCCAATCCCCCCTTTATCTGTTGCTAATGTGGTCTTTTTTATAGTATTATTTTGATATCTTTCCACCTTTTCTAAAGTTGTCTTAGAGTATCTTGGTCTGTGTTTGATGATGATGTGGGGCTGCACAGGGGAGGTACTTCTTATTCTAGGCCTGGGTCTATAAAAATAAAGATAGTAAGAACTGACTACAAAATAGCAACATCCTGGCTATTATTATTGAATTCAGTAAAGAAAGCAATCTCCTTAAGATGGTTTTGTTTATTTTTTTTTTAAAAAAATAAATGCTGTGATTCCTAAGTGGTGGGGTTTTTGTGTGTGTGTATGTTAAAACTTTCAGTTGTAATTTTCCATTGGCTTTGCATTTCCTTGAAATGGACATAATTGAATTCTCAAAATAGCCTCTAACTGAATATATTATTGCTTAAAAGAAAACATATAAGCAGGCAATGTAAACAAATGCCATGACCCTTCCTTCCAGGCCTACCTCCGGAATTCAAAACCTAATACCAAAGGAGAAGTATAGGGTTTCCCTTTGGTTAAAACTTTTCTACACCCTACAGTGAGAGAGCATCATCAATTATGCAAAATTCCTTTTAACTCCCTTTTGAAATGAGTCACTCGGGCTTAAAGCAGGCTCTTAGTGCTTCTGTGAGGGCAGCAAATGCTTGAATTCCCTGGAAGAATGTTTTCAATTAGAGAAGAATGAGATGAAATATAAGTATTTACAATTTCTAAGGAATGGTCACAACCTGTGGCCCCAGCTCTGCAAAGTTTCTGCTGAACCTTAATTGAATGATGGAGACTAAGATAGCTTCATTGTATGGTTCCCCATACACGGAATTTCTAATGTAGGTTTTTGTTGTTTGGAAGGGGTATGTATGTGCACATATACGCAAGCAAACTGTCTTTAAAAATGAGCCTTCATGTGGTATTTTTGCACACAGAATGTTCTAGCCTTGCTTTGGTACATCACGGACCCCTTCAGCCACCTTATTTTTCTCTTTTCCCTAGCTTTGAGTAAAATTTCCTAAGTTAGCCTCAGGGACTCAGAGTTCTGTTGTCATTGTTCTACCCCTTTCTTCCTGCTGACCTTGGAGGAGATAATCCACTGGCCAGTGATTTGTACCCCTTCTAGTAATGCAAGTGGACAAACACACGCTCACATGTTACACAAAGCCTGGCCCAAAACATCCACCCTTGGCTTGCTTAAGAAAGTGCCTCTGACAGAGGACATTACCCTATCTGAAACCTAAAAATATTCTGTTTCCCTGAATGAAAAGAAGAAGGCTAAGACATTAGGAAACTCAATAAATGGTATTAAGTATGCTTTTGAGAAGGAAGATTAACAAATGATTGATGATCCACCACATCTTGGGTCTAGAAAAGTTATGTGTCATATATTACTAGGCATTGCGGTGTAAGCCTGTAAGATACTTATTATATTAATTGAAGTGGGACTTAAGAGACTGTCACAGCAAAGACACTGAAAACCATTTCAAACCCTCTCTCCTACCACCTTCACAAGGCATGGCGTGGAGTACAGGTGGGCCTCATTTGACCCAACAGATGCAAGTCTAATATGATATAAATCAAAGCATATTTTAAATCAGCAGAGAAATTTGAAAAGCTGAAGGACTCTAACATATTGATGATGTCACAAAAAAAAACCCTAATTGATGTTTTACTGTGATTGAAAATCATACCTTGTGTACTTCATGTGCATTGAGGGAGTTAGAGAACCTATCTTTTCACTGTAGCTCAACATTTCATCCTTTCTGAGGAAACTATTTAGAGATTCACTTTGAGGTCACCTAGCCAGGTGGAATAGAACCTGTCACCCCTACCACAGCCTGCTGCAGGAAATGTACACCTGGCCCCAAGTTGAACCTGCCCATCCTTTGATGACCTGTGAATTGGATAGGTACGCCTCTGTATCTTTTCAGACCTTCTAAATTTATGAATTAAGGCTTTACCTTGTTTTCGTTAGAACCCAAGGTCTTCACCTTGTAGCAGGATGCTTAGTTTTGGTCAAGGAAACTAAACAGCTAGCACTGTACCCTAAACATCTGCTAGAAGTGGAATTTATATGTCAGATTTTTGTAAATGCAGTCATTTCTTAAAGATATGATGGGACTAGGGGTATGGCTCAGTGGTAGAACCTGGACAAGACCTTGGGCTTGATCCTCAGCCCTGCAAGAGTAAAGACATGACAGGCTCATAATAGAAAAATGGGCTTGGGTATGTCTTAAATGGTGGATTCCATGGTATATGAATTATATCTCAATAAAGTTGTTTTAAAAGAAGAAAAAGCAGGTCTGGAGTTGTGGCTCAGTGGTAAAGCACTTGTCTTGCACATGTGAGGCACTGGGTTCGTTCCTCAGCACCACATAAAAACAAATAAAATAAAGGTATTGTGTCCATCTACAACTAAAATATATATTTCAAATAAAAGAAGAAAAAGCAGCAACTTGGAGGAGCTGCCTTTGGAAAATGTAGGCACTGTACAGTACAGTGATACCAGTAATGGCCCTTCCCCCATTTGTGGCTTTTGTTTAAAGTGACATTGTAGTACCCTGCACTGCCCTTAGAGAGGGAAGTACTGTGTATCAAATGACAATGGCAGGCCTTGTTAGAGGATTCAAAAGAATTAGAAGCCCCCATCCCTGCCTTCCACACAGAGGTGACAGTATTTCATCCTAAAAAAGAGAAGTCTATGCTTGTGTGGACTTCTTTTGAGTAATTATTTTATTGTTTTCTCTTGTTTGAGAAGCCTGTATGATTGTGTTTTATGACCCCATGTGTTATTTATAGAAACAACTCATGTTAAAGTGTAGCTGTCACAGCTCATCCTCTTGTCTTGTTACCCATAGTTACTGCAACAAGGAAGTATACAACAAGGAGAATCTTTTCAACAGCCTGAACTATGATGTTGCAGCCAAGAAGAGAAAGAAGGACATACTGAATAGCAAAACCAAAACTCAATGTAAGCCATTTGTCTTTAACTTAAGAGGAAAGTTGTTTGAACAGAGTTATCATTGGTTCTTGGGGGAGAAAATTTCCATGTCGAACATCAGACATCACAGAAGTTGCACCCAGAAATCTGACTGTGCATTTTGCAAGCAAGATCAACTTATTCTTTATAATCTTCTTTATAAGTTATTTGCTATTTAGGGTGTTTTTTCCCTGTGTGTCACTTGTATTTGACATAGGCCATATAGTTATTATACGGTGATGCTGTCAGCTAAATCAATTCCAGCAACTACTTTTATTTGGAACTGTGTTTTGAAGCTTTGAAAATAGGTTTTTTTCTCTTTCCTTGTATAATTAATATTTCTAGATGCTTTAGTTATTAGCAGAGGGTATAAAACTCTATTAATAAACATGAATTATTTTAGTTTATTCCATTTCAACTGCATGTTATCTGTTGTACTTTTATGGATTTATGTAAGTTTTAGTTATAACATTTAAAACAAACTTATACTTGGATATTAGATTTTCTTTTAATTTGGGGTTTGTATACTAAAACTGACTATTAATGATTTTAAATGCTTTAGACAAAGAAAATTATAGCTCCAGTATTTGTATGCTGCAAAAACTCAGCATTTGTATCCTCTTAGATTGTCACTAGAGTCGTCGTCGTCTTCTTTTTTTTTTTTTTTTTTTGAAACTTTTTAAGCTTTGGAATAAGTGGGGGAAAAAAAGAGTCAGTTTAAAATCTTGAGCACATGACCAATTTTAAACAAGCTGTGTTTTGTTTTTTGTTTCTGCAGATTTCCATCAAGAAAAATGGATCTATGTTCACAAAGGAAGTACAAAAGAGGTAAGCACTGACCTGTTTATTAAACCTTCGTGCCTAGCCTTACACTTCCCTGAAGGGGCAGAGAAAATCAGGCAGCAGCTTTACCTCCAATCCTGCCATCTTCGGTGCATATGGTGAAGGCCAGCAGCCTGTGACCCAACCAACCATCAGAGTTTGGGACCACAGGGAGAGAGAAGCAAAAGCCACTAAGTGGACTGCCCAGTAGTCCAGTGAAATAACATATGTAAAAGTGTGTTATAAAGATGAATGTACTCGTCTCTCAACTGTAATATGAAGCAGCCCTGGATTTTTCCTGAGGACGGTACCTCCCGTTATTCTAAGATCTCTCCAGACATTGTTAAGGGTTACTCCTGCAAGGGCTAATCACTAAATCTAATAGAAGTTTCCAGAGCCTGCTCAGCATGATGTCAGAGGAGACAAGACAGTGCATTCACGACATTTGTATGGCACTTGACAAACCATTTTGTACCGTTTCTCTTTGCACAGGCACTTGCTCAGACAACTAGGACACAAGGCAATATGGCAGGACGATGGGATTTCTATCGCTATTGGGGATCTTGGAAAACTTCTAGTTCACTCAGTGTTTGAGGCCCAGAGAGGGTCAGAACAGACCACCCAGATACGCAGAGCAGAGCTGGGACTGTGAGCCAGAACTCTCAATGCCTTGTGCATTCATAGGCAAAAGATCAAAACTTCTTTTTTACTTCCTCTCAAAGCCTTTTTTAAAAGGTGCTATTAGTGTGAGCAGATTGGTGCCACAGTTGACACAGGTGCATCTAGTTCTCTGGGGAATGTATCACAATCACTCACTTGCCATTGTCATCTCCCCATCATTCAGCTTCCAGAAATATTTTCCCAGACTCTTATGTAGAGAAAAAGAGCCCAGATGGTTTAAGTCATGAAAGGGACATTTCTCATGGTAGTCCCCAACAAAAGCAACTGCCAGACACATCACCCTTCTTGGTGTCCCCCCCCAGGGACTCATGGTGCAGGAAATACCAATGCCCAGGTTCCCTAAGACAGGCATCAAGCTTGTTTGGTAGAGTCCAGTTGGATTGTTCCAGAGAACCACCTCTGCATGGCAGGAATAACTTCTGTGTCTTTGTTTTACATTCAGCGCCATGGATACTGCACTTTGGGGGAAGCTTTCAACAGACTGGACTTCTCAACTGCCATTCTGGATTCCAGAAGATTCAACTACGTAGTACGGGTAAGTCTCAAGAGCCCAAAGCTTATCCAGATTCTCGCGTTGAATTGTCTGTTTGGGTTTCCTGAAGTAGTTTCCTCAGAAGACAGCAGTTCAGGACCCTGAGTGTTTCGAGGCAAGCAGAAAAAAGGTGCCCAACCTCCCTCTTCAAGGTCTTAGGTGAGGATGTCCTTGAGATCGACCCTGACATACAGGGACTGCCATACTCCTTCAGTAAGTCAGTCTGTTCATGAGCCGGTCCCCTCAACTGAAAATTCACTGCAGTCCCTTGAGCCCACCCAATGGACAAATGGGAATGTGTTGCAGGTAGCAACATGAGCAAGAGACACTACGGCAGGAACCAAGCCCTAATATACTTTGGCTTGTTTTAAAACCTTCTGCATCTGATTGTCCCTTTCCTATTCTGCTTTGGCTGACTCTGAGTGATCCTAAGGAATTCTTACTTGAGGACACAAAACTGGATAGGTTTACAGCATCTCAATGTGGCCTTCCATGACTCACTTCCACCCCCATGCCCATGTGACAATGGCACTTAGTCCCCTGTCTACCTAAATCCTAAAACTGCCTGTTGACATCTATTGATTTCCATTTTAAACTTTATTTTAGAAAAAAAATAAGTGAGTTTTCACAATTAATGAATACTACTGGGATTAAAGCAAATAAGCTGACCATGACTTCCAAGCCATCAATTCTTTCTATTTGGGTGACTGTTGTTGTTCTTCCCCCTGAAGGTCCCTTGCCCATTTTTGTGGGTGGCTCACCAGGGGATGTAACAGCTGTTTGGGTTTCAGGCTCTGAAGTAGGAGGGAAATTTCCCCCTGGGGGTGTTGCTTGGTTTGGTTTTTATTTTCTTTTTCTGAGTTGTTGGGCTTCTCAATGCTGTGTCATAGAGTCAGATGATTGCAGAAGCTCAGCCAGAGTGATGACATTCAAGCCTCTTGAGGCCTGATCATTCACCTGTCATCTGGGCAGATGCAAGCTTGGCCGTGCAAACTGACCTGGTCAAAACCCAGCCTGCAGGTTAGAAGCGCTGAGTGGAGCCCCTGAGGCATGTGCAGATCAGTACACTCCCAGCTAAGCCCTGTTTCCAATCTGTGAAAATAAGAACCTTTCTTGGGTGAGATGTTTGTGTCATTCAGCATGACTCTGCCAGTTTAAGGAGGTCACCTAGTCCTCCTAGTGCCTGCAAACTAGTCCAGGCTGGTTGGAAACAGGCCCAGGGAGATCTTGAAACTTCTGTTGCTAAGAATACGAATAGTTTCCATCTTCTGTGTTAGAGGAAGACACCTAGATCTGATGTCTTGCTACAGACTGATAATTAAAACAGTCCCTTTTTAGATGGTTTTTCTTCCTACCTATATTTTCTTTCATAAAAATAAAATAAAGCGAAGGAATAAGGACCATAATAGTGGAAATATAATTTCAGGCAACTGTGTGCAGTCTCAATTTTTATCCTTGCAGAAACCCAATGAAGCATAGGCACTTCTGCAAGCTTCATTTAAACAAATGGCAGGCAGGTTAGCAAAGTAAATGACTTGTCCAAGGTCACAAAGCTACAAAAGTGACAATATCAGTGTTAGGGTCCATACTCTTAAGTTTTATGATAAATTCCATGTAAGCCAAGGATTTAAAGTAAAATGTCCTGAAGTCAGGTCCCAGATCCTCTGATTTTCACATGAAGACTCATTCTCCTCCACTGTAAGAGGGACTGGCCCCAATTTTTTAGGGTAGCTGTGGAAACATTGGGATATATTACACATGCAGACCACAATCCTCCAAAGTCAGCTTCTAATATTTAATATTAACTGTTTACCAAAATTATTATTGATTCCCTATAAAATGCCTTTTCAATGTCGTTGATAAAGATGTATTTCTCCTTTAAAAAATAGTAATTGGGTAATCTGGCACTTGATTAAAATTTGGACACAGAACTTGTGTCTGATAGTCTGTTGTAAGATACATCATGAGTGCATGCCTTTAAGTAATCTTAAAGATAGGAATTACTGAATGCTTTCAAAGTTAAATAGGTTCAGAAATAGAAAAACATTTCTGTTTTGGAAAGAACAATATTTTTTCCCCTTCACTGTTAGAGGCCTCTGTAATTTGAGAAATAATATGTTATTTTTATAGAGAACTTAAAACATTTTAATGATAGGCACTATGTTTTGAGGTTTTTCTTCTTAGGAACTCAATATACTTCTCATATATTTTTCTTATCCTTAAACCAACTCTGCAGAGTTACTTGCCAACATGTTATCCCTGTCTTACTACTTGGACCTAATGGTGGTTTGATGCCACGATGATTGTTTGGTTCCATTAAAGAGCTAAGCCAGTTTTCAGGGCCACTTGGGGGGAAAAAGATTTAAAGTTTTTAAAGCCAAAGTACATCTTTAAATTTTCCTATATTCAGCTGGCATGACAACACATGCCTGTAATCCCGGCTTCTTGACAGACTGAAGCAGGAGGATCTCAAGTTCAAGGCCAACCTGACAACTTAGGGAGACCCTGTCTCAAAAATTAAAAAAAAAAAAAAAAGCTGGGACTGTAACTGACTGGTAGAGTGCTTGCTTGCCATGTGCAAGGCCCCAGATTCACTCCCCAGGACACACACACAGTTTTTTATTTTATTTTTTAACTTTTTAAAAATTTTTATGTATTCATTCATTCATTCATTCATTCATTCATTTAGGTACTGGGAATTTAACCCAGAGGCACTAGACCATAAAGCCACATCCCCAGCCCTATTTTGTATTTTAATTAGAGACAGGGTCTTACCGAGTTGTTTAGTGCCTCGCCATTGCTGAGGCTGGCTTTGAACTTGTGATCCTCCTGCTTCAGCCTCCCAAGCCACCGGTATTACAGGCATGCACCACCACATCTGGCTTTGTTTTTTTTTTAATGTTCATGCTGGCTGTCATCTTCCAAAAAAGGGACATGCAGAGATAATTAAAGAGATGGTCAACACTGCTGCCTCAAAATGCTAACATCTCTATAAGCATGAAAATTTCATGGAATTTTGGGGATCTGAAAAAAATTTGTTATAAATTTAAAAAAAATTTTAAATGACATCTGCTTGTCATTTTAATTGGCTTCAAACTATGCACAGTGTCCCTGCTGAATCACCTATATTCCCCCAATGAATTAAACACAAGTTGAGCTATTATTGAAAATAATTAGAAGTAGCAACTTACCTATTTGTGGAAGTCCAATTACAAAAGTAGCTTATCTTCTTCCTCAAGACCAGAGGCTTCTGGTGGCTGAGACAGTCATGGGGTTGACAGTTGGTGACCAAGAGAAAATGGGTGCTAACTAACCAGGTACAGAGAGGTCACAGAATTAAGTGGATTTCAGCCCTGACTGCACATTAGAGTCAACTACGAGGCTTGATAGACTTCAGAGGCCTGCCTCTAGAACTTCAGACTTAATTAGTTGAAGACAGTACTCGGGTATTGCCCCCTTTAAAATGCTAGCCAGGTGATCCCAATGAGTTTTCAAGTTTGCACATCAGCTCAGAAATGACTTTGGAGCCCAAATGTTATATTTTACATAATGGGGTTTTAAACAACAGACCCTGAAGAATTAAATTTTGGATATGACTTCTAGGGTATATACTGTGGTCCATTAGGAATGAATGCAGTAATGGACAGGGAACAGCCCCTTTGACATCCCACTTTGAATTCAAAGCTTATTAGCTGGGACACCATCTGCAAATCCGCCACTGTACCTCTCCAAACTATAACACTGGAGTAATCATATCTGTATTAAAACATTTTTGTGAGAATGGAAAATACAGTAGGAAAATAAAGATAACAGATATGAAAATGTTATATAAGTTTCAAAATGCATTGTAATTTATTTTTCAGGAAGGAGGTAGGATCTAAACATATGCAGTCATCTTTCCTCGGCAATTAATCCAATAAGTCCCAAGTTTTCAAATTTGTGAACATAATAATTATTTCAAAGTTAATATAAGTGGTATATCACTCAATGTAAGTTTTTATAGGTGTTCTACATCTGGGCTGATGGGACAAGGAAGTCTCAATTTGCAGAACAGATACAGTGTGGGGTTGGAGGACATTTGCCTATTTGCTTAGAATGGGTGCTTAGAACTTGTATACATTTTTTAAATCCCTATGCTCTCGCTAGTGAGGCTCAACAACAGAAAACATCAACATTTACCCAAGTGCCTATCCCTGTTCCCCACGGAGTCAGTTGAGAAAACTTCATTATTGGGATAACATAAATGAAGATAAAACCTGAACCATACCAATAAAAAGCATAGCTTAAAAAGGGCAGGAACCAACAGCTAAGTAACTGTGATTGCTGAGTAGAACTGGAACTTGAACTCAGATTTGTACTATTCCAGAATCTGTGCTCCTGTCACTTGGCCCTGCCACTATCCAGTGAGGGAAATAGGAAGATAAAATAGATACAACCCTGCATTAAGGTCTACTGCAAGTGTCAGCAAATTGCTGGCCCTTAGGCTTATACAGCCTACTACCTATGTTTGCATGGACTACAAGCTAAGAATGATTTGTATATTTTTTAATATCTTACAAATAAAAACTATACTATTTTATAACATAAAAATTATATGCAACTCAAATTTCAGTATCCATAATATTTTATTGTAACATAGCTATGTTCATTCATTAAATATTGTCAATACTCTTTCTGTGCTAAATGCATAGTTGGGTTCAGAGTTGAGCAACAGAGTTATTATGGCCTGTAAGTCTAAAACATTCATGATCTGGCCTTTACATAAAAAGTTGTTGACCACTGCTTTACCATCTAACTGGTTATTTGAGGAATATGCATTAAAGGAAGTTACCTGAGCCATCAACATAAGAGAGTTTGAAAGTACCAAGATGTAGCAGAGCCAGATGGCCTATGAACTTCCAGAGGTAGGATCATGTGGGCAGGGTAGCTGAAAAAGTCTTCAAGGAGAAAGTGGGGTTTGAACTGGTCTTGAGTAGGGATAGACTGAATGGAGGCAGGCAGGA